CAAAACCCAACAACTAACAAAACAAAACAACAAAAGAAGTTCTGTATCTTGCTACTGTTAACCAAGTGATTGCTGAAGGTGAAAAAGTCAGAAGAGAAAAAGAAACTATAGTAATAGGACCAGAATTAAGCATTATCCAGACCTGGTCCTAAATAATTCTTCCCTAACAGTAATGACTTTCTTCTGTTTTCTTGGAAAGGACCTTGATGTCAGAGTAAGTGCTACATGCAGGATATCTCACACTTGGGCACTAGAATCCCATGATGAAGCACAGACTTCTCTCAGGATTTTGTACCTAGTTCTCATGCAGTCTATCTACATTCCCATAGCCACAGACCTTGCATGTGCAGTGAGTTAGGCTCATTACCGTCTTATCACAGGGTAGGCATGATAAATCCACTTGCTACACAGGTGCAGTTCAACTGCATGGTGGATGTGCTTTAGGTCTGACGCGCAGTATGTCTGCGTATGTCTCACAGCTGCATTCCAGGTAACCGAAAAAGTATTTGGCTGCATATGAAACATGAAATAAATTATATCTGTTAGCTTTTCAATATAGAACATATAATCAAAACATATAATAATGAAAATCCTGTTTTATACAGGATATCCAATAGCCCAGCTCCCCACTGTTAAATCTTGGAGAGACTGGTTCAAACTGGGGGTGAAAGGGATGAAATATATAGGCTTATGCTTTAAGATAACATAGGCTGTGGCACCTCTTTTAAAAAGCTACAACTGCTAAAGGAAAGGGCTCAAGGGTGCTTCCCCCCCGCCGCCCCAGGTATTTTTGGCGGATGATTGAACATTAATGGAGATTTCCTTTAGAAGGAAATGTATGAGGCAGTTGCACAGACTACTAAAAATGGCTGTCAAGGGAAACTTTCATAATGCACCAGATGTTGAGTGTATGTTACAAACAAAATCAGCTTTTTAATCTGCAGACAATGAGTGACCACTGTGATCCAGAACAAGTAATGTAAACCAAAAGTATTCAAAGATACTGCTCACAAGGACAAATGCATGCATGCATCTGGCCATATAGCCTTTTAAGCATATGGGCAAATCAGCTACTTGGCATAAAGATACTCTCCAGTAGTCTCTGATAATTTACAAAATTAACAACCTTCTTAGGCAGGTCACTAATTTTAGCATCCAGCCTACTTTTAAAAATTTGGTAACTGCCTTTATTAGGCATTTATTGCTGGATTCTGTATCAGATGGCAGCCTTATCTTCTGGTCTTTAAGCAGATATTGATACTTGGCAGATTCAGGATAAAGGGGAAAAGGTGGAAAAAACTCTTAAAAGGAAAGACACTGAATTACAATGTTTCATGTTCTTACTCTAGAAGTCAGGGGTCCCAGTCAATGATTTGGAAATGCAGAACCAAGATAAAAGCCCTTAATGCAACTTCTTTCCCCTGTATTTTTTATTATAATTATCATCATTGTCATCATCCTTGGAAAATATTACATTCCTCCTTTCCTTTTGTGTATCTGTTCAAAATGTTATTTTTAAAGCTCCATCTTTTGTGTATCAGCTACTGTTCCCTCTCTGTCGGTTATGATTCACCCCCTATAGGGGTACAAATCAAAACCCCTGTTTCTGTTATACAGACAAATCTCTTCCTTACCGGTATTTGTTCAATTTTGAGGCTTTCAAGTGCATATTAAGCAGTTTAGTCCCTTAAACACTGTGGTCCTTGATGTGCATGCTTTCTGCAGATTCTGCACAGCAGGCACAGTTCTTTGCAAATAATATAGTAGGTTGCACCTCTAACTCTGTTGTCTTTTAATTTCCTTGTGACTGAATTCGTGCTTTCCATCTTTCTTTTGGTTTCTGTCTTTAGCCGTTTTTTTTTCCTGCCTCACAGCCCTGTTTTCCCTTAACATCTCCAAAGCATTGAAAAGGACACATACTAGCTAATCTAATCTCTCCTCCCTCTCTTCTGCTTTAACAAAGCTTTTAGCTTCCCTTGTCTCTCTTTGTTTTCTGTACCTTTCTTTCCCTTCCCCCCTCCAAAAAATTCACCACTCCTATGTAAAAGAACTGGTCAAGCTGCAGTAGGACATGCAATCATTCTAACTTAACAGACAAAATCTTCTGAATGTTCCAGAGGAGTCTGTGTGTCATTTTACCAGACTTGTACCTCTTGTTGCAAAATATATGTATGGACAAGAAAATAAAGGGAAAGTACTTCAAGCTTTCCCTTTCTGATTCCTGACCTAATTTTTTTGTCTATTTTAGCAGCGTAGCCTAGTGGTTGAATACAAATGCTGCATTGTGTCTGATATGTTTTCTAGGGTTTTTTTTTCTTGATAATGACTGAAGGTTTGTAAATCTTTCTTTTGCATTTGGGCCACCATTTCCTTGAATCAAGAGCATAGGGCCTTAGTCTTTCCTAAGGCAGCTTCTGCTTCTATCTATCTGCTGCATGCTGACTCTCTCTGATAGGTCCAAGTATGTCAGTTTGGCAGCGTTCTCAGTCACCATCAGCATTACCACATTCCCAGAGTCCGTCTTGGTTAGCACAAAGCATTGACAAATTCAGTGTATTTAGTTTTGCTCCTTTGCTGTACTTCATAGGGATTAGGATTTTTTTTTTTTAATAGAATAATAGAAGAGTATAGCAATCAATCAATGAGCGTAAATGTTAATGTCTGACAATTTACTGCACGGAGAAATCAAATCGGGATGTTTTTGTGTTGGGGGGGTGATATGGCTGAGACGCATAAGTCTTTAGGTATGCAATTAAAAAGAAACCTATCTTGAACGGTTTGAACTGTTAAAACTGGTGCAAGTATGCACTTGAATGTCATGCATTTCCA